GGAATCAGACATCGATATTCAGCACCCAGAACACCTCAGCAGAATGGAATTGTTGAACAGAAAAACAGAACACTGCAGAAAATGGCTCGTGCTATGATTCATGGTAATAACATCTCTCAAGGTTTCTGGGTAGAAGCAGTTAGCACAACATGCTACATTGTCAACAGGGTTTATGTGAAACCTGGCACAAAGACCACTTCATACGAGATATGGAAGGGAAAAAATCCGAATCTGAGCCATTTTCGTGTATTTGGATGTGTGTGTTATATTCTTAATGAAAATGAGCACTTCGGAAAATTCGACTCTAGAAGTGATGAGGGAATTTTCTTGGGATACTCTACAAACAGCTCAGCATAAAGAGTGTATAACAAGAGAACCAAGGTAATTGGTGATGTTGTCAATGTGGTCTTTGATGATAAAAATAGATTTGTGTTACCTCCTGTGCTAGACGAGTACATAGAAGAATCTGCAGCATACGAGTCTCCAGAAGCATCTACAGCAGACGAGTCTCCAGAAGCACCTACAGCAGACGAGTTTGCAGAAGCACCTGCAGTAGACGTACCTGAAACAGCTCTTGAAGAAAAATTCACTGACAGAGAAGTATCATCTGAGGCACAGTCACCTGTTGTACCTTCTACGACAAAGAAACTAGTTGTTCATAAGTATCATTCAGCTGCTGATGTGATAGGAGATCTGAATGAAAGAACGACCAGAGGTGTTCAGCTTAACTTCAAAGAAATGTTGCAGCACTCCTGTTTGTGTGTTTAGTTGAACCCAAGAATATTGCTGCAGCTCTTGAAGATGAATTCTGGTATGGTACTTGTACAGAGGAACTAAATCAGTTTTCCAGAAATGAAGTGTGTGATCTGGTATCTCGACCTGCACAGATAAATGTTGTGGGCACAATGTGGATATTCAAGAACAAGATTGATGAAGATGGTCAGGATATTGATCAGAAACTCTACAGAGCCATGATCGGAAGTCTGCTGTATCTGATAACTAGCAGACCAGACCTGTGTTATAGTGTTGGTCTGTGTGCCCGTTACCAAGCATGTCTACGTGTATCCCATCTAAATGCAGGTTTCTGTGATGCAGACTGGTCAAGATGTCTTGATGGCAGACGAAGCACATCTGGAGGATGTTTCTTTCTGGGAAACAACCTGATCGCTTGGCATAGCAAGAAGCAGAACTGCGTCTACCTGTCGTCCACTCAGGCTGAGTACATTGCTATGGGGAGCTGCTGTACTCAACTGCCATGGATGAAACAAATGCTTGCGGATTATGGTATGACTTCTGAAATTCTGTTGATAAACTGTGATACTACAGGTGCAATTGATATTACTAAGAACCCTGTTCATCACACTCGCACTAAGCACATTGGTATTAGGCACTATTTCATCAGAGAGCTAGTTGAAGGGAAACTTGTTGAGATCCTCTGTATTGATACTGAGAAACAATTGGCTGATATTTTTACTAAACCACTTGATTTGAGCACTTTCACAAATTTACAAAAGTCACTTGGTATTTGTGAAAACTGACCTGGTTTTTGTCACTAAGGGATTGTTGGAACAGGATCACTGCACAGGAGTACATCAGTTTTTTTTTAATCCCTTGGTTAATGTGGTACTGACTACAGCAAGAAAAACCTCCTATTGGCAACTTCTCTCAGAAAAAGAGCTGCTCTGCATACTTGGCTTCGACGATGTTCAACAGAAATGGCTTTCCTGTGCACTCAGCATATCAAGCTTGGTCATTGAAAAACAAGAGAAAAGAAAAAGAAAACAAAGGAATGAAAAGATGAAATGATTTTCTTTTGAGTAAAGAGGTAAGAAAATTTCCTATGACCTCATTATTTTACTTCGAAAGGGATGATCACACAAAGATGGAAGCGAGGTTAGGAAAATTTCCCGTGATACCACTATTCGCCTACATTTTTGATGAGAAAAAATAATAAAAAAGGAGCTGAAAGCTGTTTTGAGAATGTTTTCTGGCTGAGTATGCAGATGTGTAGACTAGTCTGAGTGAAGCAGTGTGTGTGAAAGCTCCTCAACAGAGAAATAGCTACCTCACTGAGCTGGTGGGTTGAATCCGGTTTTCGGTTCGATGTGCTTGTTCCTGTGCATATCATGTTACTTCAGGAACTCTGTGTTCACAGGTATGACGTGATACATTTACTGAGTGACTCCAAAATGATCTTAATTTTCAAATAAAGTGTTTCATGAAAAACAATTTTGGATCTCTGACATGGTCACTTCCTGCCTCTGGTTGTTTAGTGGTTGCCTGTGATATTCCTGTGCTCAACAGTGTCAATCTGTACAGTACATAGTGCATGTTAAAACGAATTTCAAAGCAAGGGTGAATTGGTTATCTCACCGGTTAAAACCGGTTTATGTATCTTATTGGAATTTCGAGTTTTTGATGCAATTACAGGTCTGCTTGGTTGTGAAGGAGTTTTTATGCCAATCTTGCTGAGTTGGAAACTTGTGCTGACAGTCTTACATTTGTGTACTGGATTCCTGGCACAAATCGGACTACTCTGCGGCCTGATCGTCTTCTGCTGATAGATATGGTGCTGTCCTCCCAGAGAGCTGTTCTGACTCTGCCAACTGATATATTATCTCATTCTCTTGGAGTATTCAGGGTCGAGACTGCTGAAGCTTAGAATGCTGCACCTCCATTTCAGACATCAAGAACCTTGCTTCATGATGATCTTGCAGATCTCCTGGCTGTAGCTATCTTGGATGAAGCATCGCCTGGATGGTAAGTGTTTGTTCTCCTTCATCTGATTTTCTTGCATAACTTGATGGCTTTTGGTTTTTACATGAATGTGCACTCAAGCAGGGGGAGAATATGGTAATTTTAATGGAGATCCTGCTGGGGATCCTAGTGATGAGGAGACTAGTGGCTGATTAGTTTAGACTAGGCCTAGTAATAAGGGGGAGAAAATGTGTAGTGTGTCTTTGATAGATTTTGCACTACTGTTCTGTATTTGCTTCTGTTGGGTGTTGAAACTTGAATCCCCAGCAGTTTCTGTTTTGCTAATGAATGCTATTTCAGAATTCTTTTGAGTTTGAAATATACATTGGTGCTTCTTGGTGTGTATCTTGGCAAACTAACCCTGACAGGTAGCTCTGGAGCTTGAGGTGTCACATTCAGGTAAAAAGGGGGAGATTGAAGACATATGGATGTCGGGCTACAGGAAGATCCTATGGAGCACATGAGAGAGCTGTATGCGGGAAACTGCGAGACATTAAATGAAGATGACGTGGCGAGCAGTGATTGGTGATTGGAAGTTTCCAGAACGTGATGCTCAAGTTATTCGGTGTATTGAAGATACGATCAAATCAAGGAAAGAAGATTTGGTGTGATCTGAAGATTAGGAAAGTTGTCTATGATGCTTCCTTTATATTCGCAGTCTAGACTTTAGGTTTAGGTGGGTGTTTAGACTATCTCTGTGAATCTCAAGTACTAGGCTAGAAGCTGTTAGGGTTCTTGGTGAGTGAACAGAGTGTATGCATAGTTGTTGCTGTGTTGTGAGTTTGGGTAGATTAAGAATTGGTCAGTGACGAGTTGTGTCAACGTCGTGTAAATCTGATTAAACATATCTTGTAGATTGTTTAAGTGATTCTTAATAAAGGAAAAGAAGTTCTTTTCAATTGCCTCAACATCTATATAATAACACTTCTGTTAGACCATCATTAACGGTGTATGTCGTCGAGTGTTAGAGTATTAAAAAAATAGAGAAATAATGAAACAGTGATAAAAGGCATATGTTGGGTCTCCCGGAAGAAGTGTTTTCGCTCGGATGTTAGAGCAACGTGGCAAATGAAGATTGGTTGCCCTTTTTGGTTAATGAAAACATTTTTTCATTTGTCGAAAAAAAGAAATCGGATCCAAGCCTGTCTCTCCAAGAACAATTTTCTTCCTCAAAGAGTTTTGAGCTGAAGATCATCGTCCTGCGATTCTCAGATCGATAATCATGGCTGCAGCTGGAAGCAAGAGCATTAACGCCAAATTGGTCCGTCTTTTGTTCCTTCTTACTAGCTCAATTCTTATGGGCTCCCTTTTGAATTTTTCTTCTCTAAGGCTTTATCTCAGTTTCTGTGGGTTTCTTCTTTTGTTTTGTCTTGTCAATGCGATGTCTGAATAATTTTCAGTTACAAATTCAAAATTTACGAACCGTATAGACAACAGATAACCGACTAAGTACCGGAATGTAGGATATTTGAGTGAACCAAAAACCAAATTTTGGTTTAATCCAGTTTGGTTTATAATTTAGCAATTATGTATTCTTGTTTCGTTGCGCTTTGATAACTGAAATGATTTCTACAGACGTGCAGAAAAAAACCCTTACATTAAAAGGCATAGAGATCCAAAATTTACATAATTATTACTTGAGAACTATTCAGTTTCAAAAAGTGTTTCTCTAGAAATACTTGGGTCTCAATTAAAAAATACTCCCTCTGTTCTTTATTATAGGATTTTCTAGTTTTTCAGATATAATAAACAAACATATTAAAATACATTATTTTTTGTGATTTATAATTTCCAACAACTCTAAACCAATAATGTTTAGTTTTTTTTTTTTTTTTTTTTTTTTGACATCTTTGGATCGACAAGGCCCGATCCATAGCCAATCCCTACTACGCGGGGTAACGCGACTTAGTGGAGTCGAACTCCGGTGGGAAGGCGGAGTCAAGTGGACTTAACCACTTGACTAAAGGCACATCCCCAGTTATTTTTCTTGAATTCTATAATTTATCATTAAGAATTGTATATAGAAAAGTGAGAAAATCCATCTTTTTTAAACCAAATATTTTCAACAAAAATCTTATATTAAATAACGGAGGGAGTATAATTACATGTTCACGATACCCGTTTTCGGATATTGGGCCGTTTCTGGGAAAGCCCAATGTAACTTTTATTTTTAACAAACAAATAAGCCCAAATAAATTCGCCGGAGAAAAAAAGGAAAAAATTTGTATCTCGCGGCGGAAGCGTCTCTCTCAGACGAAGAAGGAGATGACAAAGGTAAGTAGCGAGAAATCGAAGAAGAAGCCAGCTATGAATGACATGGTTTTCATCGCCTCCATGAACGACGACCTTCTACATAACATTCTATTGAGGTTGCCGGCTAAATCGTTTGCTTTCGCTTCCTGTGTTAACCGATCCTGGAACAGCGTCTGCAATAGAATCCTCTCTCGCCCCAAAATGATCTCTGCGTTCTCACGTAATCCTGATCAACTCGTAAGTTTCTTCTTCTTAATTTTCAGTTTCAGTTGAATTTTGTTTATTTTTTTTTCAGATCGAAAAAACTCTAATTTTTTTGTTTTAGAGCTGTTGACAAAGGCTTCCTAGAGTACAGATTATACAAAATTGAAAGCTTTTATATTTTAATCGTTAAAGAAATACAATGTAATTGCAAATTACAATCAAGTAATAATAGATATAAGCATTTGCCTCATTTTGTGAATAAGGTAGTGGAGACAAACCCTGGAAGTATGGTTGATCTGGTGGTTGGTGAGGACAGAAGATTTCAGCGGCTATTTATGTCTTTCCAATCTTGTATACATGGCTTTCAAACTGGTTGCCGGCCACTTCTTTTCCTGGATGCCATTTCATTTAAGTCTAGGTATCATCAGATTTTGTTAACCGAATAACCCGAAAATTCCGAAAACCTAGGGCTACATCCGAGAGATATGTGCTCTCAAAAGTATCTTTTGTGGCTAGAATTTTGTTTACAGCGAGATGATTGATGCCTGTTGTCCTTGACCAACTGTTGCGAATCATTGAAGTCTTTGACATATAACATTTTTTGCAGTTAAAGCCATTTGGTGTTGGGAGAATTGATTATATAGGAGGATTATTTGATGATTTGTCCATCTATGCATTCTAAAATTGAAAATTATTTTTTCTTAAACTACCCTTTTTATTAATTTCAATCAATTTTTTAAAGATAAATTGTGAATAGTAATGAAAAGGTTATGAGAAGGCATATAATATATAGAATATGTGTGCTTTTTTTTTTTTTTATCATTTCTTATTTATAAAAATCGATATAAAATGGTTAGAATACTTCTTCTGAAGTTTAGATTACGTATTCTATACAATGAACATGTTCTATTGAAATTTAGATTAAGTGTTCTATACTCTCTACATGTTCTAGAAAATTTAGAACTGAATTTTGTTCTAAAAAATTAGAATTGCAATTTCTATTAAATTTAGAATAGGTATTCTATCATTTATTCTTTGTTCTACGAAAGTTAGAATACTTTGTCTAATATTTACTCTTCGTCCAAAAAAATTAGAAAGCATATTCTTATGTTTTTTGCCTATATTCTACGAAAATTAAAATATAAATTTCGTGTAATCTAGAATTTCTTAATAAATTAAAAAATAATCGAAAATTTAGAAACAAATTCAAGGAAATAAAATCTTTAAAAAAATATTATAATTAATTCATCAAACTATTATAAAATTTTAAAAATATAAGAAATCTTCAAATTAAACCGATTCATAATAAAAATTGAATAATAATTTTATTTTAACTCGTGTCAAAATCTAATCGACCACTTGACCGTTAATTATAAACTGAAGATAAATAGAACTAACATCCATTTATTTTTATTTTTGGTGGGAACTAACATCCTTTTATATGAATCTGAAATTATTATTAATTTTTTTTATGACATGAAATCTGACTTATATTTTTTTTTACATAATGGAACTCACCATAATTTGGTATTCTTTTATTGGTCCTTAATACCAATAAACACGCACATTAATATCAACAACTAAAATGGATTATAACAACAAAAGAGAAAGAAATATACAAATATATATATATATATATATATATATATATATATATATATATATATATATTAAAAATAATAATTATAATACTTTCATTTAATTTTTTTTTCTAAATTATTGTATAATTTTCCTTTTCTTACATGTTGAATTATTATTAATAAAGAGATAAGTTAGGAAAATAAATTAAAATACAAATCAGATTATTTAAGGAAATAAAATTATTTTGAAAGGATACAATGGGGTTTTAATTTTGAAAAAGCATATATTAACGATGTATAATTTAGAATGAATACATAGACAAATCATCATATAATTCTCTTATATAATCAATTCTCCCTTGAAAAATTTTAAAACCCACACATCATAAGGATCTTAAAAAGATATAAACATAACATTAGGATCAAGTAATCTAAAAATAGATAAATATCCATTGCTTTAACAAACAAAACGAAAAATAAAAAGTCCATTTTGAAACAAAGGCAGAAACGAAAAATAAAAGTTTCGAGGACAAGGAAAAAACACAACCGATTTTATTATCTCCCTCTCGATGCTGCCGGCTGATCATGTTGCGGTTGGGAAGACAACACTCGTTTCAGCCAGATGCGGGTATATGAAACAACCAATTTATTGACATTTTTTAGCTCCACGATTAGTAAGACGTCGAGTTCCACGATGATGAATATGGAAAGAACGAAAACCCGTCCGAAATGCTTTCCTCAAACGTTTGCTCTTTGGAATATCTTCTTCTGCCTACAAGATGTATATAAGAAACAAGAGTATTTGGAAACGTGAAAACATAAAACTGTGGAAACAAGGAACTGAAAGGACAATAGAAAGTGAAACCATTTAAAAAGGATTTCTATGCATAAAAAAAGAAAAAAAAAATGTATAAATTATTATTAAGAAAAACTTGCCTCCTTTAGGAGGTTAATGTTTCGCTCGAGCTCCAATGTTCGAAGATTCTCATGAATACAAGACTCCTGCTTGACAAAGAGTGGAAAAAGCTTAAAACATACTCCTTCCGTTTCATAATATAGGATGTTTTAGAGAGATTTTTTTGTTTCACAATATAAGATGTTTTCAACTTTCTATGCAACTTTTAGATTAATTTTATATAGTCTTGTTTATGATTGGTTAAACTTTTTAATAGTACAACTTTCTTATTATATATGCTTTTAGCTAAAACATTTATATTTTGGAATGGAGGAAGTATTACAGTAAAACCTCCATAGATTAATACTGGGTCGGTGTAAAAATTGACAAAATTCGATAAGATAATAAAATAATAATTTTTTTGAAGTTTCTATGTATAAATATGATCTCAATAATATCATAAATTAATAATTATGTAAATTACATATATATATATATACATAAAAATAATATATCAATATATGGTTGTGTTTTTTAAATGAATTTTGGGTATCTACAATAACTGACCATATAAGACTACAAAATTAGGTGGACGAATTGATCACTATTTCTACAGTAAAAGAGCAGATAAAGTTACTTTATTATCCTTACACACCTTTCTCATCTTCTTTTCTCTCTCTTCATTGCTCAGCTCATGAGAAATAAACGGTGTCGAGAAGGAAACGGAAACAACAACGATGAAGATGATTGTATATGGCTAAGTTTTCTGGCAAGAGCAATGACTAAATGGCATAAATGATTGTACGTGTTAATGGTTCCGATGGTAGTGGTGGTGATGATTCTATCAGTAGTGGTGATAATTATATCAGTTACGGTAACTACGTTGGAGAAAGCGACAGTGTCGTGAAGTTAGATCAAATGGAGTGGTTAGTTGAGATGAAGATAGGGACGGAGGAGCTGTGATGATTGAAGATTTGACAGTGGCAGCCAAAAAACTTAATTATGTTGTTTTCTGGGTTTGCTTGTCGGTGAACAGAACTAAAGTAACACATGTTACTTTTATTTTTATCATGTTAACATTGTTATACACGTTAATATAAATATTATCTATATATTTACTATCTTACCATAAATATTTTCTATGATAATATAAACTTTATCATATCAATTATAAACTTATAGCGATACAATATGTTTTAACACGATATATTTATAAACTTATTGATATATATTTTGTTATCGTGCTAAACCAATAGATTATCATTTAACTCATCATATATTCTTACTCAGATATTTGACGGACAATCTATTCAGAATCAAATAAGAAACGTTGATAACTATTTTATTATATTATTAACTAATTTGTTATATGCGGAGGGGCATTTTGGTCCAACTTACAAAAGTTAAGGAGAGAGAACTAATAATATAAAAACTATGAGTATATTCTTAATTTTTTGGTCAATTGTGGTTTTAAATTAATATAGCCCATGAATTTTTCTTAAAATTAACTCATCACTAACGTTTTGATATAAAAAACTGTTATGTTGTGTTTTTAAACTATTTTAGTTTATCATCGCCTACAAAAATATTTCATAAAAATATACAAAACTATTTGTAAATTTTTAAATTTTGAATATACATCATTTTGATTTCGATAGTTGCATAGACGATTTAAATACAAAAATTGATGCCACAAATCATAAATTAAATCTATGTATATCATTTAAGTAAATTGATTTATTTTCTTGTTATATCATTCATTTTTTAAAAATATTTCTATAAATAAATTAATATTAATTTATCCTACAAAATAATAAATATTAATTTATAGCAATGTTCAAGAAAGCGCTAGGCGCTAAGCGGGCGGTGACCCAGCGCCTAGCGCCTAGAACGCCTAATCGGGACCTAAGCGATTTTTAGACGGTTTAGACGTTTATTACATAAAACATTATAAGTATGATATTATATATAAAATATCTAAAAAAAACTAAAAATATGAAATCATAAACAAAAATTAGATAAATCATTTACTTATATTTATATTAAATAATATATGAATATTTATAACTATATATATATAAATAAAATTTAATTAAAAATTAAAAAAATATTAAACAAGTTCTATGTAATTTTAGGCGGTCAAGGCGGTCATCTAGGCGTCGCATGAAAGCCTAGCGCCTAGTCGGGGCCTAGGCGACCACCTAGACCGCTTTTTAGAACACTGATTTATAGAGAAATTAATATCACTATAAATTAATAAAATGTTGTAGTGTATTTGCTCAAATGGTTAGAAAAAATGAAATAATGTATTGAGAGAGAATGCTTACTTCCCATGCATGTTCATTAGTTGAGAGATGCTTCATGAAATCATCAAGGCTCTTGCAATCAAAAAGGCACGTTTTGCAATCAAACATTCTGGTAGATTCAGGTTCACCCCTTTGACTACTGCACCTTTGAAGAACGTGTCTTCTTGTCTCTGAAACTGTGGAACAAACTATATAGCTCAGAAACAGCGTAATTAGATTTCAATGACGAGAGGAGGACAAATAAACACCTTCCAGTAAGCTTTCCCAGAGCCACTCTGCAGAGGTGACGAGGGCTAACATTTTGGTAGGCCTAAATGAATAAGCCAGGAACATGTTGTATTTATATTTAATACAACATTGTTGAAGACTGGCAACAGAAGTTGAGAAGTAATCCTCTATATGATCGGATATGAGCATGATTGTAGCTGGAGGAGGATTAAGGTATTGCCATCGAATCAAATCGGAAAACATTCTTTTGTATCTGACTTCTGTTTCAATAAAAAGGAAAGCATTTCACTATATATACATGCAGTTGAAATTCCAGAGATCAGTAACAATTGGACTAACCGGTAATGGCATGTGAAACAGCGACTCCAGTGGAAGAGAGCCCTCGCAGGAGATGATCAGGGGTTTGTGATTGGTCGCCATAGGCGGTGATGGAGACAGGACCAGAGTAGCCTAGTTTCTTGAACGCCCCTTCTATACTCGGACGGACCCGATGAACTTCATAACCCTCGGGAATCGGACAGTCCACAATGTCCCACAACACCAGAATTTTAGCCGTGGCGTATTCAGGCTTGGCCGGGAAGTTCCTTCCCCACTTCATCGTTACAGGAGAAATTTCTGTAGCAGTAGGGCATAAAAGTTCCTGCGATAAACAAAACAAAAGGTTAGTTGCTCAAATTTAGACAAATGAAACAATTAGTTAATTAATTACCGTAGAGACAGGATTAGGCTTACTCCCATTGCATGATATCTACTCGAGAGATGCTTCCTGAGTTCCCTCAAGCTTTGGCAATCGAAATCGCACGATTTACAATAAAACATGGCACGGTCACTTTCTTCTTCTTCATATATTTTAACCACTCTGGTCTTCTTCGTCTTCGACTTTAGTAAATTGTTCCAGCGCCACTCTGCAGAAGTCTCAAGAGCTGGTATGGCTTTAGAACTAACCGAGTAAGCCAGAAAGAGGTTGTATTGCGTCTCTTGTTGTAGCCGGGCCAGATCCAATGAGAAGACATGGTCCACCTGATTGGATATGAACATCATTGTCGCCGGAGGAGGAATATGACGTCGCCATTCCACCATATCCGAATACATGAGAGCGCATGTGCTTTCTGTTTCAGTCAAATTAAAAGGAAACCATTTCAACGTTTTGAAATTTAAACCCACAGATCGATAAGAAATTGGACTCACCGGTAATGGCATGTGCAACATGGACTCCAGTTGAAGAGAGCCCTCGCAGGAGATTATCAGGGGTTTGTGTTTGGTCGCCATAGGCAGTGATGGAGACAGGACCAGAGTAGCCTAGTTTCTTGAACGCCCCTTCTATACTCGGACGGACCCGATGAGCTTCATAACCCTCGGGAATCGGACAGTCCTTCATGTCCCACCACACCGCTATTTCAGCTGTCGCGTATTTAGGCGCCGCCGCATCGTTCCGCATCCTCTCAAGTCTAAACCTAAGCAAATCACAAACGCCTTTCCTCGCGATCCGTTTTTAGGGTTGATGTATATTTATATATACACCAAACTAATGGGCCTAAATGAATAGATGTGTGGGCTAACGAAATTGGATCCTATATGGAAAATCGAGCGCGTTCGATTATCCATTAACTAGTATTATCTCCCGTGCACGCACGGGTAACAATTGCTTTTTACTAAAGTTAATTCTTTTATAAATAAAACAAAATAAAAAGTCTACTAAGTATAAATTTAACAAAATTTGTAAAAATATTAAGATAAATAAAAATAAGCAAATTTGTAAACTCAAATCCCTTTGTTTTTGATTATATCTTTTAAGTTTTAATACAACACTAGTTGATACCCGTCCTACAGCCTACACCACGGGCTGATTTTTTGGTTGGTAGATAATATGGTGACAATTTCTGTTTGTTTATATGTATTATTGTATTGTGTATGTTTGTTTGGATACGTTGTAGTGTTTGGTATCTTAAGTGGGTTTTTTCGCTTCTCGAAAAAATTACAAAGTTTGTTTTAAACACTAGAAAAAATTTAACTATGTTATAAACTTATAATACATCATATTTGACTTATAACCGGGCCCAATAAGCCCATCAGGATTATTCATTATGTACTCTAAAACCCTAGGTTTATATGCCTATATATATGTATCATTATTCATGGAATGGAATGAGATAACAATAAGTTTCACAACACGTTGATTTTACAAAAGTAAGCGGTTGAGCCGCTAGGTTTCGTTTTTACCTTTCACCAATTGGGGTTGAACGGATTGAACCGGGAGCTTAAGACCTCGGTAACTTACGCTGTCGATGAACAGTACCGATGAACAGTATCGATGAACAGTGAACAGTGTCGGCGTTAACAGTATCGGCGAACAGTGTCGATGAACAGTATCGATGAACAGTGTCGGCGTGAACAGTATCGGCGAACAGTGTCGATGAACAGTGTCGGCGTGAACAGTGTTTTGCGATTTTTAGGGTTAGGGTTGTTAAGAGCAAACTCGTGCTGATAACGTGTTGTGAAACTTATTGTTGTCTCGTTCCATTCCATGAATAATGATACATATATATAAGCATATAAACCTAGGGTTTTAGAGTACATAACGAATAACCCTGATGGGCTTATTGGGCCCGGTTATAAGTCCAATATGATGTATTATAACATAAATTAAATTGAATTTCTCTATCAGACGGAATAATTAGAGCATATCAGAGATGCTGACAGACAGACTAATACGCTGTCGTTTTAACGTAATTTTCTTAATATTCCAAAAGAATTTATCTGTGAAAATAAAAAAGAAAAATAAAATCCATCTAAAAAGGCGTAAGAGGTCTGGATTCGTCAAAAAGGTCTTTGAGAATCCAAAAACGTCTTATGGTTTAGCTCTCGATTTTCTCATTCGATTCCTTCTTCCTCCGGCTTCAAGTCGCCGGATCTTCTTGATTTCCGATTCACTTGGAGATTTTTCTTCTCCTCTAAACACACGACGCTTCATAGTTTTTTGTTGTGATTCCGTTTGTTTCAGGTTAGCTAAATCTTAATTAGTTTCCTAATTTTGTTGATTAGATCGATCTTTTACCCTCATTATTGTTCTCAATAGCTTCTATGTATTTGGTTTCCTGAGTATTGCTTCTTGATTTGTAGGAAGAGGCATGTAATTCAGGATTTCCGGCGATTTGGTGGGACGTTTGGAGAAATTTCGAGTTTTTAGTATTCGTAGGAAAGTTTTCTTCTTTTTTTTTTGGGTTTGTAGATGTTGTTGATTAATGGTTGAAGGTGAGAAATGGGGCTTCGATGGTTTTGAAGAGATTGTGTATTATCGTGGAAATGAGATTGTTGGAGATTGCAGAAAGTCATCTGATTCGTATTCACGGGTTTGCTTAGGGACTTTGGAGAAACTGAGAGTTTTGGTTGTTTAGTCTTTGAGAAAAGGTTTAGGCTTTTAGCATTTCAAGCGTCTTTATTAATAAGTGAGTTTGTTTTTCGAGCTTAGAGATGGATGAAGAGGCTACTTCTTGGATTAGGAGGGCTAAGTTTTCTCAAACGGTTTCTTATCGTTTGAATTCGTCAAAGTTGGCTTCTCTCCCTTTTATGGTAAACCAAGATAAGATTGCTGGATTGAGAACTATACCCCAGAGATCATCATCTTCGTCGTCGGCATCATCATCGGATCCCAAGTTGGTTTCTAGTAACTCACAGACTACGGAAGATACCTCGTGTTTGGAAGCTGATGTATATGTTGTTGATTCGGAAATACAGACAAACCCTGTAACTAATAAGCAGAGATCTGTTTCTCCCTCGCCTCAAATGGCTGTTCCTGATGTGTTTAAGGAAGCAAGGTCGGAGCGTAAGAGATTTTCTACTCCACATCCGAGACGGGTGGAATCGGAAAAGGGAATGAAGCCTAAGTTATCTCATAAAAACTCCTTTGAAAAGAGATCATTTAATTTGCGGTCTCCATCAGGTCCTATCAGAGATCTTGGCACTCTGAGAATTCAAGAGAGGGTGAAGAGCAAGAAGGACACAGGATGGTCTAAGCTTTTTGATAATACTGGTCGTAGAGTGAGTGCTGTAGAAGCTTCTGAAGAGTTCCGTGTTGATATGTCAAAGTTGTTCTTTGGGCTTAAGTTTGCTCATGGGTTATATAGCCGGCTATACCATGGTAAGTATGAAGATAAAGCTGTTGCCGTGAAGCTTATCACTGTACCTGATGATGACGATAATGGATGCTTGGGAGCTCGTTTAGAGAAACAGTTTACCAAGGAAGTCACCCTTTTGTCTCGATTGACCCATCCAAATGTTATAAAGGTGATTTCTTCTCTCTCGTTATGTTATCTTGGTTGATTGTCATGTCAGTCTAGATGAAATGATTACGGTTTTTGTTGACTTCTCTTATCTTATTTGTGTGCTAAAAACAGTTTGTGGGAGCGTATAAAGACCCGCCTGTATATTGTGTCCTCACGCAGTTTTACCTGAAGGATCGTTAAGATCTTTTCTGCACAAGCCTGAGAATAGGTCTCTTCCTTTGAAAAAGCTTATAGAGTTTGCTCTAGATATTGCAAGAGGAATGGAATATATTCACTCACGACGCATAATTCATCGGGATCTTAAGCCGGAAAATGTATTGATCGACGAAGACTTCCATTTGAAGATCGCTGACTTTGGCATAGCGTGCGAGGAGGAGTACTGTGACATGTTGGCTGATGACCCCGGAACATATCGGTGGATGGCACCTGAAATGATAAAACGGAAACCACACGGGCGTAAGGCCGATGTTTACAGCTTTGGACTCGTTTTATGGGAAATGGTAGCTGGGGCAATCCCGTATGAGGACATGAATCCTATTCAAGCTGCTTTCGCAGTCGTACACAAGGTAAATATTCTGTGGGTCTCCTGACTATTTCATGATTGTAATCTTCCGTGGAATTTTATGCCATGTTTCAGCACAAGGACTGTCTAATGGTTATGGTTAAAGGCTTAGAATTTAACATACAAAAATCTTACAGCACAAGTATATGTAAGGTCCTTTATTGTTCAGTTGGTTCAACCATTTGAGATATGAAAAATGTTGATCTTTGGTTCAGAACATTAGGCCAGCTATTCCGGGAGATTGTCCAGTAGCCATGAAAGCTCTGATAGAGCAGTGTTGGTCGGTTGCACCGGATAAGAGACCAGAGTTCTGGCAGATAGTGAAAGTGCTTGAACAGTTTGCGATTTCACTGGAACGTGAAGGGAACCTGAATCTGTCTTCGCACAAGATCTGTAAGGACTCAAGGAAAGGTCTGAAACATTGGATCCAGAAGCTTGGACCAGTCCATGGAGGAGGAGGAGGCGGTGGCAGCAGCAGCAGCGGCCTTGGTGGCTCGGCCTTGCCTAAGCCAAAATTCGCTTGAGAGACGTGAAGAGTCTCTTTTGTAAATTTATATATAATACAAAAAGAAGGGTTTTGTGTTTGTGTTGTATCCTTTTTTTTGTGGATTGTTGTTGTTAGTGATCTTTCATCGTCAATGTCATATTCTCTGGATTTGATGTGTAATGACTGCCAACTGGGGAATGGTTGTGATTTGATGTTTATGGGATTCAACATCTTCTCTACTTTGGCTTTCTACTTTACATATGCTTTTGTGGAAATTTGATGGCTTAATCAGTTTGTATATGTTTGGCTCCATTATTTTAGTTTGTGTAAGAAAATGCATTAAGTGTTAGTTCGAATTTGAGCATTTTCCCCGAAACTCAACAAAAGTAATTTGTTTTTGTATTTGTATCTATCTATACAATAACAACAAAAGAAATTTAAGTGACGTGTGTATTTGTATTCATCTAAGTAAAGATTTTTCTTCAAATAAGGGAAGCAGCAACATGTTTCACAAATTGATATCATCAAGGAGAGAGTAACTCAATGCTATTCTCGTTGTCTTCGATCCTCGGCAACGCAAATCTGTCTGAATCACGACCAATGAAGCTATGTGTTGTTGAAGAACAGGAAGAATTAGAGGCAGAGGAACATATCATCGTCTCCTTCATCTCTCTCCTTATAGCCCATAGCTTTTCCGCAATGTCTTTCATAGCTGGACGTGTAGCTCTCGTCGGGGCAAGACATTCGCTCGCCAGTCTCAGCATTTTCTCAGCCACTTCAATGGCGGCTCGGTTTCTCTTGAGAAATGGATCCATTATGAGAACAGCTTCATCGTCTTTGAGTCTCCTCAATGCCTGCACAAGATGAAACAAGTTTTTCTTTGATTAAAATTGTTGAGATTATCTCAAGCTTATGGTGAAGGGGGAAAGAGAAAGTGACTTACCCATTTAACAGTAAGTCGGTCTTTTCGTGGTCTCTTTAACTCAATGGGACGTCTTCCAGTGAGAAGCTCTATGAGCAAAACACCAAAAGAGTAAACGTCACTCTTGTCGGTTAGTTGAAACGTCCTGAGGTAATCTGGATCCACATAACCTGCAGATCCTTTGACCTGAGTCGATATATGAGTAGCCCCGAGATCTTCCGAAACTAAACGAGCAAAGCCAAAGTCTGCCACTTTGGCTCTAAGCTTATTCGTAATGAGGATATTTGAGGCTTTAATGTCTCTGTGTATTATTGGAGTATCTGCATTATAAAATGATCCCTAATGCATAAAATCTTGGCACACTAAGCTATACTGTAACACCAATAGGAAACAAAGAAGAGGATATGACAAGAGTACCCGTATATGTGTGCAAATAGGTCAATGCATGAGCTACATCAATCGCAATCTCAAGACGTTCTGCCATTTCAAGGCGGTTACCCCGTAAACCTGTGTTTTGATACAGAGGAACAAAAGTTGAGAACTCTAAATTCCAGATATTTTTTATTTGAAGTCGTTCTCTATGCTCTAAAGTATAGAGACTAAACTTGTCTTCTTCGTCTATACACATAGAAGTGGAAGAATAAGAAGAAAGTACCTCTTGCAACTTACCATCTAGATGTTCTCGTAGGTTTCCATTGCCAACATATTCAACAACAATAACCTTTTCATCTCCATGTTCAAGAAATCCATATAGCTTTACCAAATTCATATGCTCAATCTTTGACAATGTGTATATTTCATTCTTAAACTCTAGCAACCAGCTTTTGTCATAGTTGTTCTGCCACAGAAATTTTGAGTTATCAATCATTTCTTCTCCAAATTATTCTTTAAGAAACTACTTCAATCTCTTATCCACATATTTTCCAAGAAAAGGAGTTCAATCACTACCTTTCTGGCTCGCTTGATAGCAACAATAGTTCCATCATCAAGCTTTCCCTTAAAAACAGTTCCAAAACCGCCTTCCCCAATTTGATGAACCGATGAAAAATTTGCAGTTGCCCTTTGAAGCTCCACAAAAGAAAATATTACCGGGCCTTGGTGCCAACTTTTGCTAGAAGAAGAATCTTTCCCAGGACTTTGAAATCTTGAACCAGAAAAACGATATTGACCTGAAATCTTTCTTTCTGTTGACCTTCCAAAAGAGCTTGGTGATGAATAGCCAGTCCAGCCTGATACTGCACATATACAAGATAAAAAAGATTGTCACAGCAATACAGAGAGCATAGATGCATAAAAAATATATCTCATCCATGAAAGACCCTCAAGTTTGTTTGTCTTAATGGTAGGCATACATCACCAGAGCTTAAAAGATTCAAAGCAATCATGCTCCAATATACCTACATGTAGAATCTCTGTCAAGCGTGCTGCTCTCTCCAGGATCAGATCTACATTCTGTTGGCTTGAACTTTCGTTGTCCTAAGAAAATAATAGCAAAGACTTTCTTAGCTGCCCTTCTGATGGCACAGAGGACGGAGACATTCCTCGCCTTCTCCCCAGTACCTACATCACTCCAACTATAGTCAGAATCAGCTTTTTGATGCTTTCCATTTGAGAAGCGGAGAGGCGTTGGGGTTTTGCTCCTCATTGGCATATGTCTATAGACATGGTTATAGGAAGGCAGTGAATATTACTTCTGATGACCAAATTCCAAGAAAGAAAGTATGTTGCAGTCATGTATGTTTCTTTTTCTTTCTGTTAAACGCCAGATACATTTGTGCATATAATATAAGCATAATGACCCATTATTATGATCTGTACAGAAATATATGTTCTTTAATGTGTTGTAGACCGATTCAAAGAGATTGATTGGTCTTGCAAGTTTTGCTGTTATTCTATTTTCATAGTCAATGAAAATGAGCAAATGATGTTATTCTGAGTATTTTGTATAGTTTTGACTTTTCCACACAAGAAGACTCGACTCGAGAGTAGAAAACGACTCATTGATGATATTAAAAACCTTTATAGTCTAAGGATGAGGGAAATAAGAAAAGATAACTAATCGCATGCCTATGAAATCTATCTCTCTTGACTAAGTAACAGAGTCCAAAGTAATCCAAAACTAAAACTTTATGCAAACCTAATTAAAGTGATCAAGAAAGCATTTAGAACTCAAGAAGTAATAAGAGAAGCAGAATCAATACCTCTGTACTAGAGGATTGAATGTAGAAGAAGCCTTCACGTTGCACCTGAAATAAAGTTTTATACATGAACATTGAAAAAAGGAAATATTGACTGGGTTATTTTATTCAATCCAGTAGAGAGAATCAGAAGAGGAGACAAACTCAAGATTTTCTCTTGACAAGGAGGATATATATCGGGTTCTGATATTTATTTACTCAGGAACAATGACGGTTCTATATTTAAAGCTGCAAGCTGTGTAGTGTAGATGATCCAGCAACAAGTAGAATGTGGTCCGTCAAAGCTGGCAAGAAGGTCCACATATATAGTTTAAGAAGATGAAAGATGAGTCTTTTGTACAAAATCCTTAGCCACAAGTCATCTAAAAGATGACAGAAAAACTCTCAATTCAAATGATATGTTGAAATTCTTTTTTCAATAAATGCATGAGTAAGATACCAAAAAGTAAACTACATAAGCAATGAGACTGACCTGCTGTGACAAAAGAAAAAAAGTTGAGTTCTTTGTCCAGTTGTATATACTATGTTGTAAAGTATTGGGAGATTGGTGAGATTGACCCAAACCAAATCTCGATATCTAGGCTCGGTTAGGGTCGATCTCCCAATACAAAGAGATTACAAAGGATACATAACTTGGAAAAAACCGAAATGATAAGAAGAATAACCTGAAATACTCGATTTCCATGTAATTCCATAGAAATTTGTACTGTTCTGACTTCTCAGCACTGAATAATTTCTACTGCTTATTCCGGTAGAAGATGACTGAAGAAGACGATGACGACTAATTCGTTATTACAGTGCACAAGAAAAGACCCATTCCTAAAAGGCTTATGTTTCCTTTTGGGCCCAAATATTAGCCTTGGGCTCAAATTACACCCAGAAACATTTTTTTTTTACCATGTTATAAATTTGTCTTCGGTTGCTTTTCTTTTAACGTTTCGATTGAGCACCGTAAAAGTAAACTTGCTTCTAGTGGACTAAAGTCGTCGGAAAATTCCAAATCTTTTTTTACCAGAAAGAAAACAAAATCGGTACAATCACACTGAGACAAAAACAATTACTACTGTGACCTGCTATGGGTTTTTTTTTCTTATAATATAAGAACACAACACTCTTTGGGAACTTGTCGTAACTCGGAATCTCAATGTCACTCGCCAGCCATTGCTGTCCACAAACGTTAGAGAAAATTTAACTCCTTTATTTTAGGTAAATGCCATAGTTAAAATATAGTACTGATAATAAGTGAAACAAGAGTAAATTATCATTCAAAACCACTATAAAGAGTGCTTTATCTATTTTTTTTTTTACGATAACTATTTATACAAAAAAATTATTATTTTGAATGATAACACACTTCAGTTATAACAATGATGTAACATTTAAACAAACTCACTTAATTCAAAAATTAGTTTAGGTCGTTGCATCAAAAGTAAAGTGTGTTGTTCAAATGTTACATCTTGTTGCACTAAAATAACTCTTAGTGCTCTTGCTTGAAAATCAATCCACTAATCAAAACTCTAATAATATATCCAAACCAAATAAAGAATAACAAAAGTTGACATTGAAGCTATTTCTTGATTCGAAGGGAATCCAAAGAAATGACGAAAGCAGCCAAATATTACCCCCCAAGGTAAAAGAAACAAATGTGCACACGTGTTTTCACCATTTTTCAATCTAATTTTATTTTTCTTAAATTTTAATATTTTCACTAATTAAGATCCTTTTATGTTCGTCCTACAAATGCAGAGGTCAGGCCCATAATGGGATGTGTTTGTACACTTTCTTCCTTTGATTCTCTCTGCCACTCTCATGTGACACAATTATACCATTTTTTCTTTGATATTTGTACTAAAACATTACATTAATATTTTCTATCTATTTTCATTAACTCATTTCTGTTGTGAAACTTATTGTTGTCTCATTCCATTCCATGAATAATGATACATATATATAGGCATATAAACCTAGGGTTTTAGAGTACATAATGAATAACCCTGATGGGCTTATTGGGCCCGGTTATAAGTCCAATATGATGTATTATAACACTCCCCCTTGGACGGAGTAACCGGACCTGATGGTCAATCGGGATCTCGATAATACGCTGGGGAATGTTGCCTCA